ACGCCTTAAGGCTTGAGTTCCACAAGGACAACAAGGACACCTTGAAAGAAGTGAACTCGGTTTTCTACACAGTCAGCACCAGCCTGTCCAGCCACTGTGAGACCATGGCAGGGAGGAAACCATCCTCAGCTTAGTGACCAGGGACAAAGGAGGCACTGGCCCACACTGGGTCCTTGGCTCCCCCTGGGCTCCCACCGGCACCCTCTCCCTTCCATCTGCGCAGCCCTGGTCTGGGAAACAGTGTTCTTCCCTTTCCACTCCGTCTCAGGAAATGTCGAAACCTGCACCACCTCTCCTTTCACCTCCACCATTCCATCCCTCAGAAAATCCTGTCGGGTCCACAAGCTGGTGCCAAGTCCCACTGGTTCTCATTCCCCCACACACTGCTACCATCTTGGTTCCAAGTCTCTCCCCCAGGCTTGAGAAGGGGCCCCGTGGCTTCCCTGGCTGGCCTGCACCCTGCTGCAGCCTGCTGTCAGCCCGGCCAATGCTTTCCGCACCAGGCGAAATGGCTCCACTCCTCCCCTCCACTCGCTGGCCTGCAGGACTCGGAATTAAAGCCAAGTCCTGCCCGTCATCTGCAGCCCACGCCCTCTCCCATGTGCTCATCTTTCTGAGCTCACCTCCTGCACCTTTCTCCTCACTTCTCCAGCCACACTGGCCTCCTCGACGTTCCCAGGGTGGGCACGGTGCTCCTTCAAGGCCTCTGACCTCAACCTGGAGAGGCCAGCTTCCTTCCTGTCTGGGATCTGCGCACAGTAGGGGCTTCCTGGCTTCCTTCCTCTGAGTCTTTGATATAATATCTGGCACACTTCCTTCCTTAATTTTGGTGCCCTCTTTGTGGTAGAGTATAAGGACTTAGCCTTTTTCACTCCCCATACATTCTCCGTGCTCAGAAGAGTCCCCAGCACACGCCTGTGCTCAGTCAGTACTGGTGAATTGATTGACTGAGCTGGAATGCACTGGGACCCGATTCTAGAGGTGGAGCAAGATGGTGGTCATTCCCCTTGTTCTAACCCAGGCTGAGACAAGACTTGATTCTTACTTTTTATTGTCAGTTGGTTCATCTAAGATGGAGGAAGGGTGGAAGCCTGAGAACAGGGGTCTCCAGTGGACCCCGGTGTCCTGGTCTGGGACAACAGGAATAGGGGGTGTGGGGAACAAGCGCTGACAAGTCCCATCTGCAACTGCTCCTCGCTCAGGACCCACTTGCTGCTGCAGGCTGTCGGGGCCTGAGTCTTAGATTGAAGTTCCTGGGTGGTCTCCTCTCGGCTCAGTGATAGAACATGGTCTCGTTCTCCCACCTGTGGTCGGCAGTCACATCCCAAAGACACAGTGACCGAAGTCTCACTGAATCCGGGTATCTCGCCCTGCCCAAGGTGATGTTTTTGTCTTTCCAGGGGAAATGTCAGAACGATGCCATTTCAAGTGTTGAAAGAACAACATAAAGTGAGAAAAAAAGCATCAAGTGCAAGGTTTCTCATTCTGAGTTGTTAACCCTGTATTCAGATACTTGAATTATATAAATTAAATTTTTGGTTATAATTAACAAAGCTCCCAGGTGAGACAGTTATCAGAGAGAATAAAGAGGTGGTTTGAGTGCTTGCATGTCGCTGTGTAACCGGCTGAATGGTGGGGATGCTGGGTGCTCCGAGGATGAGTGAGCCTGCATTCCCCATGAGCCCACTGTAAAAGAGGCCCAGGGGCCTGGGGCCAGCCAACCCAGGGTCCTGTGGGAACCCTCACGGTGCTGTGACGGCCAGCGCTCTTTCCCTGCTCAGTTCTGCATGCCTGCTCTTCTCTTGCACTTTAGGCCCCTCTGGGGGCAGGGCAGGCTGTTCTCACCCCGATTGTGGCAACGGGGTGGAGGGACAGCCTGTAGTCAGGTCACCTGGGTTCCAGTTCAGCCACGGGTACCCTCTGTGTCCATTTGCTGGTGTTGCTCTAACAAAGTACGGTAGGCTCCGCCTGACAGACTGCAGCCTAAACAGAAATTCACTCATACTCAGGAGGCCAGAGGCTGACAAAGGCAGGACCCTGCTCCCTCTAAGAGTGGGTACAGCGCTTGCTGGCCCTTGCTGGCTGCTGGTGGTGGCCACAGGTCTTGGTCTTCCTTCGTCTGCAGCCATATCACTTCCCCTTCAGTGGCCACTCCTGGTGCTGGTGCCTCACAGGGAATTTTCCTCTTCTCTAAGGCCCTGAGTCATGTTGAAGTAGGGCCCACCTAGTGCTCTCATAGTAACTCCCACCCTGCAAAGACCCTTCCTCCACAGATCCCGTGTGCTCACCTCCTGGAGAGCAGAACTCAGCCTGAAGCATCACCGCCGTGCACTCGAGCAAGGGACTTAACGTCTCTGCCCCCCCCTCCTCTCCTTTCAGGTAGAATTGTCATGCAGGCTCTCTGCCTCTGCAGAGCATGACTGGTGACGTGAGAAGCATTGGCATTCATTCCATGCCCAGGAACTGCCGCTGCCCAACCTCCACTCCCCTGCCCAAGCTCATGGCCTCTCGTCACCCGTTTGCACCTGCTGCACACAGAGGTGGACGCCATGAAATCTACACAATGGTCACTGACCCTGCAGCAGTGTGTGCACTTTGAGGACACATTGGGAAGGATAGAATTTGCATCTCATCCAGAGAATGATGAGATGATTCAGCCAGAGAATCCCGGGCTATTGTCATGTCCTCCCACACCGTGAATGTGACATAGGAGCAAAGCCTCTCTGTGAGGACGGGCAGAGAATCGCCTCTAGGTCACTGGCATAGGCCTCGTAGAAGTGGTGCAGCAAAGGCAGAGCCCGAAGCCTCACTTCAGCTCCCACCCCGGCTTCTTTCCTACTCAGACATCCTGTGCTTTTGTATCGCCTGTCCCCTTCAGGCACTGCAACACCACCAACATCACCCAGGCTTGCTCGGAGACGTGCTGCTGTCACGTGGCAGCATCATCTGGTGGTCCCCACTGCCCAGTGCAGTACTCCAGCTCCTGACCCTCCTCACACACTCAGTGTATCTGTTCGCTCTGCTCTGTCGCACCCTGGACATCTCCCTTTCTTTTCTGCAGCCACCACAGTATGGTCAGGATATAACAAAGATGCCACCCTGAAAGCCTAGAGAATAAGAAATCACATTCTTAATAACCATCAAAAGTCCAGATTGGCTGCTTCAGCCTCCCACACTTATGTGTGCACAGTGTGGGCAAAGTGATGAGCAAGAGGGTCCCTGCCCCGGCCCCTGGCATCGGCTCAGTGTCCAGGCTCTGCTGTGAATGACTCGCTATTGTCATGTCCTCCCACACGGCGAGAGTGACATAGGAGCAAAGCCTCTCTGTGAGCAGGAGGGGCTGCTGCTGACCTTGGTGGAGTTGTCTGGCTATGACTAGCAAGATGGTGAGGATCCTCCATCCAGGAAAAATTGCATACAGAGCTTTCAGTGACAATGCTAGGAATTTAAGAAAGGAAATACGAAGTGTCTTCTGCCGAGGAGTCCACCCGGTGTGATCTTGGTCAGTTCAAGCCAGGATGACAAATGTCCATAGCCTGCATATACGGAAGAGGCTGGAAGTCCTAGACCAAGCATCTTCTCACTGCGGCTTCATGTGGGGAAAGGGGAACTCTGGTCTATCTGCTAAGGACACTGATCCATTCAGGAGTGCCCCACCCTCATGACTAGTCAAAGTCCCCTCCTAATGCCAGGTCCTCAGGGGTAGCTGGTGAGTGTGACTTTCAGGAGGTAAACGTTCAATCCATAGCCTGCATCGTGTGCCAGACACCTGGTGACTGCAGCAGGGCCCCAGGTGTGGCCCCTCACTCACCTGCAGAACTGCAGAGGTAAGGCCATGCTCAGGGGTCTGGCATGGCTGTCCATGGTGTACGTCCCCTACCTTCACAGCCACTCAGAGGGAAGTGGTGAGTCAAGAGGTACAGGCGGCTTGCCCTGTGTCCTGACTACCCAGAGGGAGCTGAGCACTCCTTTTAGGAGAGGTCAGAGTTGCTGCTGTGTCCTTGCTCTCAGCACTGAAACACTGTACAGAAGACACAGGTCCCAGTGTTGGCATTGATTCCCATCAGCTTGCAGACCCACCTGACCCGAGCATCGTTCTGATCACAAGAGTCCACAAGATACAGTGCACGGGCTGCTGCTCAGCTGTGGCTTTCCTCCCCCTGCTCCTCCTCCTCCCTCCTCCTCCTCCTTCCTCCTCCTCCCCACCTTTCCTCTTCCTCCCCACCTTTCCTCTTCCTCCTCCTCTTTCCTCTTCCTCCTCCTCTTTCCTCTTCACACTCTTTCTCACTGCCCTCCTCCTCCTCCTCCTCTTCCTGGGAAGTCTTGCGTATAGTTCAGGTTAAATACCATAAGTGCAAAGGAAGTTTTATAGAGACTTTTTTGAATGGGGGCTATACTTTTGAAAGTCATTTTTGAAAAATCTATATAAAACTATCATGTTGCTGCAAATTTCAGCTAAGGAATGCAAGTCAGTTATTCAGAGGTATTTGAGACAATGTACTTTGAGAACATTTAAAATACCCAGTCCCTAGTATATGAGAAGGAAGCTATTCTACCTCTTGTTTAAATGGGATTGGCAGTTATTTTCATGTCTCTTTACTATGGACTCTAACAACAGCTAGATTCACTCTCAAGTGGTCATAAGAAAGATACTTAAATTTCTTAAAATCTGTATTTTTAAAGAGCAATTCAAATGTTACATTAAAACTAAGGGAATGATTTATTTCTCTTCAAATTTTCTTTGAATTAATGGTTTGTATTGCTTTTTGACAGTTCTAAACATAAATTAAAGGCTTGAAAAATATTCCTGACTCATTTGAAAACTCGCCTTCCCTGTGAAGGTGGGGCTGTCCACGGTTGGCTGGTGGGCGTGCAGGGGATGGGGACTTGGGTTCCCGGGACATTTAGGGGGCTGAGCAGTGACGTGAGGAGGACAACCCTGAGGAGTGGTCGCCTGCGCTGCTGTCAGTCACTCCTCCTGTGTCTGCTGCTTTTGACAGGTACCAGCCCTTGGCGGACACACTCGTGCGTGAGAAGGAGGAGCAGCCCGCAGAGGAGAGGTGCCGGCTTCTTCTGCAGCAGTGTCAACTACGGGGCTGGCAGGTTGGTGGCCGACAAGCCGGGGATCTCCAGGGTAGGACCTTAAGGAGTGAGCGGGTCATTGCGGGGAGCTGTGGGGTCTTCCTGTCGGAGACGAGTTCCCAGATGCGTGGATAAGGAATGGCTCCTAGGATTCAGGGGTGTGGCGTCTCGCCCAGCACATGAGGCCACTTAGGAGATTGGTCACAGCCACAGTGGGTGGCCCTGTTTGCCCAGATCCCACGTGGCCTTGGGGGCATGTACAACATCCGAACTGTAGTGGTAGGAACTTCAGGGAAGCCAGACACCGAGGCGCTGGGTCATCTGCTGGCTGAGGCCAGGGTTTGCAGGCGGCTCAGGCCCGGCTCAGGCCCTCCCGTCTCCCTCTGCCTGGCTCTGCTGCTCACTGGTCATGGCGTGGAGCTGCCTACCTTGGTCTCGCTGGTAGCAGAGGTGTCACTATGAGGAGCGTCTGTCTGTGGTCTGGGATCCCTGGGGAGCAGAACCGGGTCCAGGGCACCTGCCACTAGGCCAGCAGAAGTAAAGTAACATGGGCATGCCCACCTGGGGCAGGAGGGGACAGTTCCAGGTGTTGTGTGACTACTCAAAGAGCATCAGAATCTCCCTTTAGGAAGAGGAGGTTTGGGAGGAGAAGGTAAGGTCAGAGCAATCCTGGACATGACACCGGGGCCATGGGCAGTGTCTGGCCATGAAGTACCACAAGGTGCATAGGTGGCCAGCAGCATGGCTCGAAGTGATAGGTTTTGTAAAACAGCAGTTACTGGGAGACAGACACAAGCCCCTTTGGACCGTTGATAGGCCCAGCGACTGTAAGTAGAAGCCTATGGTTATCCAGGAGACCAAACCCAGGCCTTCGCTTCAGTGGTGCGAGCAGCTGGCTCTGGACTGCAGGCCAGGTCGGAAAGTGCCCCAGCCTCATGGACAGAGGCAGGGACTACTGCAGGTCACAGCAGACTCAACTGTCCCCAACGAGGACCAAGAGCCTGCTGTTGGTGATGCTGAGTCAGGACTCCATTGTCCCCCGTCTCTTTCTTTGCTCTCTTCTTTTTTCTCACTGATAATGGAAGTTGAACTTTAAATAACAGTCTGAAGGAGGAAGCTTACTCACCCAGTGGCTGTCAGAGAGGCACACAGTGCCAAAGTGGATAAAAAAGGAAGGAGGAGGGGGATTACTAACAGGCCTGATGTCAGTGAGCCACACTCGGGGCGGTGACACGGTGTGGGATGCACAGACCTGTGATTTCCAAGCCTGGAGGCAGCCAGAGTCACTTCAACTGATTCATCCCTGGAATCTTTTAATAAGCGATTGTGGAGGAATGGTTCCGGAGTAACGTAACACCAAGGCTTTCTTATTGTACACTTTTCTTTTAAAGAATACACACAAATGAAGAGTGTGTCTGTGTATGTGTCTTCACATGTATTCGTGCATTTCCACACATACGGGGAGAGCAAGGGAATCCGGAGCAGATCTCCCATGAAGACCGTGGTGGGCACTGACCACAGCCCCTGAGCAGGGCTCCCTGCAGCTTGTGGAAAGAGGGGCTGTGGGAGCAGGCTGGGAAACACTGGTGCACACCGGCAGCCGCTGCTCCTTCTAGATCTGTGTCTGTGCTGGGACCCTTGAAATAGCAGCTGAGGATGCTATTCAGTTGGAACGCACACGAGAACTTCGAAAAAGAACATCAAGATTTTAAAAATGGGACAGGGTTCCCATTTCATTGCACAAATCCATTTTCTCCTCGTTTTTAAATTCCACACAAAGAGGCTGAAGATACAAGAGGAAGGAGGGAGAGAGTCCTGCGTTCACTCTGAGAGCACGTTGCTCTCGTGCCGTGTCCTCCCACTGGAGAGCTCTGCCCTCTCGCAGCTTCTTCAGGGTGGAAACTCCCATAGACTTTGTGCCGTGAGAAAAGTAATGGACTTCATGGAAATAAAGCTCATTCACGTTTCACTGTTACATAGACAGCAAAGTAGTTTTTCTCCAAAAAAAAAAAAAAATCCCTTATTCCTGACCCTGCATTCAGACTCCTCAGTTTCAGGAGCAGAGCCTGTGTTTGAGATGTGGGGATCGCTGCAAGGTGCTGCTGTGGCTCTGTTCCCCTGGCCCTGAGTACTAGCTGTCTGCCTGAGGCAGCAGCAGGTGGTGACGGACAGCTGCTGTACCTGTGGCATTGTTGCCAAATGGCCCAGGGTGGCGCTGTTTTTTTTTAATTTACTAGTCAGTGCTCAGGCCTTGTCCCTTTATGCTTAGCATAAGATTAATGGCTGTTCTTTCCTATATTTCGAAAAGCAATGCTAGAGGAGAGAAGAGATTTGAATCTTTTTTTTTTTTTTTTTTTTGTGTGAACCTGCCTATGGTCTTAGCTAGAGATTCAATTTTCTTAAATAAAAACATTATCCTTTTATTGCCATTATAATGGGTCTTGGAAGTTTTGTCATCCTTCCCTAATTTAATAGACCCTGTTGAAGGACAGCCTGAAGTCTTCAGCTCCCCGGTGACACAGTCTGTACATTGTGACAAAAACAGACCTCAGTGTCTCCTGACCCAGGTGAGGGTAGACATGTCCTGTCCTCAGTTGGGTTCACACATGACCCACAGGCACTACCCATTTTTTGCACATGCGTGTGTTCCTGTGCGTGCCACACACTCTTCATGTGCTCTCGAGTTTGGAGTCAGCTAGAGGAACTTCAGTACCACGTAAGTCAGAATGCCTCTTGTCCCCACGGGTCTCACTTGGGTCTTACGACTAACCAGAACTTTCCTAACTTTATTTAATTTGAGCCTAATAACAATTCCACGCAGAAAGGAAAGCAGGCAGTTTATGTAGTTCTGACCCCAGTTCAGATATGAGCAAAGTGAGCCTCCAAGGGCCCTTGTCCTGGGGCCAGCATACTGAACCAAGCAGTAGGTGCAGTTGAGATGCACTTTTGTGGGAAGGCCACTTTGTCAAGGCCAATATGTGACTCTTCCTATGCTGTGTTCTCTCCTCTGCACTTACCTCGATATGTAATACAAGCAGCACAAGACCCTCACCAGAGGCCGATTCTGAAGTCATTCCATTCAAATTCCAGAACTCGAAAGCCCTGGGTCCATTCTAGTAGTGCTTTGATTGGAGCACCTGTGCATTGCCCGCTTACCTGGGCGGCCTGCCCCGTGGTCTGGTTCGTGCTTACTGTCCCAGGAGGGGAAACCCACCGAGCTACTTCCCTGTGCAGGCTGAACCCATCAGGACGCTCCCTAGCCCAGCTGCCAGCCGGGAGCACGGAGCATTTGTACACTTCTTTCCAGCTGTATTTTGGAAAGGAGAGGAGGAGAAGACAGACCAGGAGTGGGAGGAAGAGGAGAGGAAGACTGCAATCATGTGATGTTGGATATCAACTCTCATTCAGAGCCAAGACCTACACGCCACCCCGCTGCCTAGAGCCAGCAAGTTGGGGAGGCGATCCACGGTGGAGATGCACCAGGTTAGGGCTGCGGTCCCTGCTGAGCAGAGGCAGTTGGAACCAGTCTCACTGCACTGTGTGGTCAGCTCTGTCGCTGCTCACTGCAGTTCCCAGGACTCCAGACGCCAGGTGCGGCTGTGCACTCTCCCCTGCTCGCTCTCCCCAAAGCCCAGGACCTTCTTCAGCCTCCTCCACATCTAGCCCAGGGCGGCCTCCCCTCCAGCACCAGGGCCTCTCCAGAAGAGACCTGTCTGTGGGGTGGCCAACCATCTTTCTACCCACGGAGACGGAAGGACGGACGCGGCACAGACTCTTGCCTATCTTTATGAATAGGAAGCTACTGACAATATTCCACCTTTTATATAGACACATAAATATCTCAGAAATTATAAAATCTGATGTAATTCACAACAAAAACCTCACTGGTAATACCTAGAGATTTTTTTTGGAGCTGAAAATCAGACATACATTTTGTTTATAGCTACGTTTCTAATTGTATTAATGCATTACTTCCATGATTAAAAACAATTTTAAAATGTATAATTGCTCCATAAATCTACCTTAACTGTAGGTTATTGTATTAGACCAAATTAAACATTTTAAGCATTTTTGGGAAAGAAAACATAAGTCACATTGTTTTGCTCCAAAGCACTTTGCCTTCCGACAGCTAATTTCCATTCCGTCCTCCCCGCATCCAGCCTTTTCCTCTCCAAGGCCCCTCAGGCCTCTTTCACATGGTGGGAACTGGGAACCACAGGTCTTGGCCAACTCCGGGAACCACTGTTCTCATACTCAAAACTGTTGTTTCCACTGTATTTTTATTTTTTTAAAAAGTAAAGAAAGTCAGAGGCCGTGGTGGTGAGAGGGCATCCTGCTGCTTCCCCACCGTGTGGGCACGGGAACTGTGCTCTTCAGAGCAGGAGGACCAGGAGGGCTGTGTCCTGATTGGCAAGATGAAACTTGGCTAGCTCGGGAGAAATGGAAGTTTCTTGAGATGATTTGAATAGAATCTACATGACTCTCTTCTAGGGCTGTTTTCTGTTCCACCAGATATATTTTTCTTTATGAAACAGTCCATGAATCACTTCATTTGTGGAAAAAATGATCCAAATACTTTGAATTAAGTCATAGTTTGGAAACAGTTAAGCCACTATTTGTTAACATCTACTGTTTGTTTTATCATCGTCGTCATCAGATCTTATTTATCTACATAGACGTATTTTTAATTCAAGGCTATTTCAAGTGGCTTTGAGAGTCTTCCCTCTGGATCCCTGGTCTTTAATCCGGGGCTTTCTGCCCCTCCGGCCCCGAGCAGCAGAAAGGTGCTCAGCGGGCTCCGGGTGCGTGTGGAGCATGCTTGTTGTGCATGTTATGTCATTTATGTAAAATGAAAACCTTTGAGACTCATTCTTAGTGGAAAAATAAGTGGTATAATCTGATTTTCACACATTTTCTGTGCATCGACTGGTTACAGGACGGTTTCTGCTGTGTGGTTATTTGAATGCTATATTCATTTCCCAGCCATCTGGAGGATGACGGATAGAGAAACAAATCTGTCG